GGTGAGTTTATTTGGATAACCTGCCTGACCTTATATGACAAAGAAGTGTGACTAGGGGTGATGGAGTATGCTTCACTGTTGTAATTCACACATTACAGGGGTCTCAGAGGATCACGTCAAAGAGACAACCTACAAAGAGCCTTGAGAAACTAGAGAGAGGAAAAGGCATTACCGGGGCCCATGAAGTCTCTTCTAGTTCATCAGAATAGCAAACCTAAGAGAGACTTGAGGTCAAAGTCAAACATGAAATAAGTGTTCATTTGCCTGGAAAAACAAATGTCCCTTGAAGTCTTTTTTTTGAGTTAGGGTCTTACTCTGTTGCTTAGGCACGATCACTGCTCACTGCAGCCTTGACCTTCAGGACTTAGGTGTTCCTTTCACCTCAGCCTTCCAAGTAGCTGGGACTACAGGTGTGCACCACACCTGGCTAATTTCTATTTTCACTTTTTTGTAGGGATGAAGTCTCTCTATATTGGTCAGGCTGCCTTTTTTTTGGTCCAGATTTTTTTCTTAAATCCTATATGAGGGTGTCTTTTCATTAGTGAGCTAAAACCACTTATACTACTTACGCTATTGTCCAGATGGTCAAATGCATTACATGCATTAGGTCATTTTTCTCCCTGGACATCTTCCTCCCAATTGGATGTTCTGTAATTGTGCTGCATAGCTGTTAACCTGCTACAATGCTGGGTTGGTTCCCTGATTTCTGGTATCTCTTGTCTTCCTGGATTTACCTCCTTCATTTCTGTGGTGTATATCCTCCAGTAGCCTTTGAAATCAGTGGCATGGGAGAGTCAAGTTGAGATCTTGTGTCTGCCAAAGTTTTTAACTTCACATGTGAAGACAGTTTGGCCGTGAAATTATACATTGGAAAAGCATAATCTCCTAAAATCCAAATTTATTTTCTGAGTTTAGCCAAGTTAATTGTGTTCTTGAGTTTCAGAGAGCAACTAGGAAATATTTGACACGTAATATCTCAAAAACATTTATCACCTATTTACTTCATGACTTTGGAGAGTATAAATTCAATTAGGCAGAAACTTTTGCTAAAACTCTGAAGGCATTGATCTGCCATATTTTGTCATCCAGATTTGTTAATGAGAAGTTTAATAAAAATGTAATTTTGTTCCTGATTGTTTTTCTCCCTAAAACATTTACGATTTCCTATTTACTCTGGGGGTTCTGAAACTTCATAGTGCTATGGCTTGGTGTGCGTCTTTTTCTTTTTTTTCTTTTTGAGTTGGAGTCTCACTCTGTCACCCAGACTGGAGTGCAGTGGCCTCTCCCAGCCACCGCAGCCTCGCCTGCTGGGCTCCGGTGATCCTTCTGCCTCAGCCTTCCATAGCTGGAACTACAGGTGCGCGCTACCACGCCCGGCTAATTTTTTGATTTATTGTAGAGATGAGGTCTCGCCTGCCCAGGCGGGTCTCAAACCCGCGGGATCAGGCAATCCGCTCACCTCAGCCTCCCAAAGGCGCGGGATCACAGGCTGAGCCACCGAGCCCGGCTTCGTCTTTTTCATTCATTACACTTGATACTCCCACACCTTTCAATCTGTAAATAGCCACTTATGTTATTTCATTTTAATAATCTGTTGTTCCCTGGTTTTTTGTTTTGCTTTTTATGTTTTTCATTCTCTAAAACTGATAGTCTGGTCTTAGACCCTTATGTTTATCTTCGGTGACTTTCACCTCCAAACCCTATTAATTACTTTTGAATTTTAAAAAGCGATATTGTTTTTGATAAGTACTGTTTCATTTCTGATTGTTTTATAAATGCAAGTTCTCCAAAAATCTTTTTTTTTTTTTTTTTTTTTTTTGAGTTGGAGTCTCACTCTGTCACCCAGACTGGAGTGCAGTGGCTGCTCCCGGCCAGCGCAGCCTTGACCTGCAGGGCTCCGGCGATCCTTCCACCTCAGCCTTCCAAGTAGCTGGAACTACAGGCACGCGCTACCACACCTGGCTAATTTTTTGATTTATTGTAGAGATGAGGTCTCGCCAAGTTGCCCAGGCAGGTCTCGAACCTGCAGGCTCAGGCAATCCACTCGCCTCGGCCTCCCAAAGCATGGGATTACAGCCTGAGCCACCAAGCCCGGCTTCCAAAAATCTTTTAAGCCAGGTTTTTCCTCTTACTACAGAGTCAGCATTGTCTCATATTTTAAAGACCTAGAAAAAAATTATTTTTAATGTTTATATAGTACCCCATCAAAAGATGAAAATGTATCAAAGATTTTAGGCAGCATGAGGCATCATCAGATCTGTTTTTGATGTTTAGCCTGGAAGAAGTAAGAAGGTTGAACTGAAACAGATTAGAGGCTGAGTCTGTCATCCAGGTGAGAAATAAGTGAATAAGTGAATTCTAATGTTTTAATCATTTCCTTATTATGATGCAACAAAAACTCAGTTGCCTTCTAATTTTATCAAAAATGTAGCCCAACTCTGTCAACATCTTGATTTTTTCACTCTTTAATGCTGAATTTACTATATAGACTTTATGGTAGTATGAAAATTAAAAAACATGTACATACACCACCTAGTAATTCCTTTTAGCACAAACCCAATTACTGGTCCTACTCAAGGCCTCAGCATTGGCAAGGCTGTTCAGTGGTTGGAATCATCTTCTTCCAGCCTGCTATATACAACTCTAGAATAAACACATGAAAGTCTTCTTTCTCTAAGGCAATAGTAGGGAGTAAAGGTAAGAGTAAAAAAAGAGAGCAACTGAGATTTTCAGAGGTGAAAACAGCAAAGGAATTGGTAAATAAATGGTCAGGAGAAAAGGGAAGAGAGTAGTCCAGGTTATCCTCAGGTTTGTGGTTGGGATGACTGCAAAAACATTTCTCCAAATAAGAACTATATACAGGGGGTGCCAAAAAAATGTACACACATTTTAAGAGATGTTTTCTATGTATTACTTTTCGAAGCTGAACTAAATTACAGTAGCAATGTATAATATGATGTTTGCTCAACCTTGCTTCTGTCATTTCCTTTGACTGTCTTACCTGTCACATGGTGATGCTAGCATTTATTTGATTAACACCATCTTTTGATTGAACATCATACTTAAAATGTGTATACATTTTTTGGGGGCACCCTGTGTATTTAAAATATGTTAAGCAGTGAGTTACCTACTGTATAGCATCAGGTGAGTTAAGCTAGAAAAACAAATTCTTCCCCAGTGTCACAGTCCTAAGGATAAGTTATTATGAACATTTAAAGAGAAATATGAAAGGTTCTAAAACAGTATCTGTTTTTCATGACAAATATTTCTAATAGTTATAAAAAGATATGTTTATCTTTAGTTAAGTATGAAAGATACCACACCTTTAGAGAAATCAATTTATTTTATTAAAATTCTTTACAGGGCAATACCCTCAGGTCCCCTCCCACTGTGGGAGCTTTTCTGTCCGCTCAATAAATCCTGCTTTTAAAAAAAAGAAAAAAAAGATTCTTTACAGAAATATTTTTTAAAAGAAGGACTGAAAAAATCAGCAATAAATAAAGTTTCAAGTTTAAAATTATGGATGAAACATTACAGAAGAAAACTTTATCACAAAATATTAAAAGGATATTTTGAAATAAAAATAGCCCTATTATACATTTTCAGTTTTGTATTTCACTTTGAGTCTCAATATGAATTTTAGCAAAATAGTTTTTCCATTTCATCAGCAAAACACCTGATTTACTATTTAAGCAACAATATTAAAGTATAGAAGTATAAAATATTTACTAAATATATTTTTCTAATTTGAGATGGATGTCTATCATTTTATTACTAAGAAAAGTCTGGTTCTATTTAGGTTAATTAGAATATTTACATTTAAATACTCCAACGTAATATACAAGGTGTATTATGCAAGTAGAAGGTCCTCAAATGAAGAGCATAGTCTGATTTGGTTTTATAAAAATGAAGATATTTAAAATGTAAAAAAAAAAAAGCTTGAAAAAATGCAGGCAAACATCTGTTTTTTTAAGTTTTACCAGCAATCTATCTACTCCTTTTGTTTTTTTAAATTTTTTATTTTGAAGATGTGGGGGTACAATTCAGGGTTAGGTATACAAATGTTCATTACGCAGGTACCCTTGTGATCTATCTACTTCTAAAAAGTCCTTATAAGAGCGATTTCTTCCTGAGCCTGCAGGTTCGAGACCCTCCTGGGCAGCGAGACCTCATCTCTACAATAAACCAAAAAATCATCCAGGTGTGGTAGCGCATGCCTATAGTTCCAGCTACTTGGAAGGCTGAGGCGGAAGGATCGCCAGACAGCAGGTCGAGGCTGCGGTGGCCGGGAGCGGCCACTGCACTCCAGTCTGGGCAACAGAGTGAGACTCCAACCCAAAAAAAAAGAGCTATTTCTTTAAACTCAATATTTACTAACTCAACAGATGGGTTTTAAAATGTGGAAGGTAGCCGGGCTCGGTGGCTCAGCCTGTAGTCCCGCCTTTGGAGGGCTGAGGTGAGTGGATTGCCTGAGCCTGTGGGTTCAAGACCCGCCTGGGCAGGGAGACCTCATCTCTACAATAAATCAAAAAATCAGCCGGCCGTGGTAGCGCATGCCTGTAATTCCGGCTACTTGGAAGGCTGAGGTAGAAGGATTGCCGGAGCCCAGCAGGTGAGGCTGCGGTTGCCAGGAGTGGCCACTGCACTCCAGTCTGGGTAACCGAGTGAGACTCCAACTCCAAATAAATAAATAAATAAATAAAATGTGGAAGGTGGCCAGGCATGGTGGCTCAGCCTGTAATCCCAGCATTTTGGGAGGCCAAGGTGAGAGGATTGCCTGTACCCGGGGGTTCGAGACCAGCCTGGACAACCTGGTGAGACCTCGTATCTACAATAAATCACAAAAACTAGCCGGGTGTAGTGGCATGTATCTGTAGTTCCAGTTACTTGGAAGACTGAGGTGGAAGGATCGCCTAAGCCCAGCAGGTCAAGGCTGCAGTGGTCATGAGCGTGCCACTGCACTCCAGCCTGGGCAACAAAGAGTGAGACTCCAACTCAAAAATAAAAATAAATAAATAAAATGTGGAAGGTAACAGTACTTTCAACTCATTGATTTTATACTCAACTAGTGGCTTTAAAATTTTTTAGAATATGTGAAGACCTGAATTAAACTATGCTCAACATTTTTCCAGGACTGTTTGCTAGTAAGCTTGTTTTTACACAACCCTTTTAATGTGTCTACCATGGGGAGTAAACACAAATAAGTACTTGAAACTATAAAACTTACTAAATAAACTGTCAACGTGGTATTACTGCTTTTTCCTTCTCTTATAAGAATCATTACTGTGAACTCGGACTCGCTGGTGCACAGAGGATGCTATTTTCATGCTCTCTTTCTTCGGGCAGGTCTTCTCTACACCTCCAGGTTTCCAAAGTATTAACTGTGCATCTTCTCCCCCTGTCAGCAAAGAATCATCCTGCACGTTCCAGCAGAAAGAACGGACTGTGGCAGCATGCCCTTCCTGAAGGCTGGTCACATGGGTCAATCCTTCCGTGGTGCAGTTCATTAAGTGAATCCTTCCTTTGTTTGTTCCTCCAATAACAAACAATTTATCCATCTTTTCATGATACAGGCCACCAATCAAATAGTCCAAAATGCCTTCTTTCACACTGACTATTTCTCTGACATCCTGGATGTTCAAATGTGTAATTGGTTCCTCCGTATCCAGATGATTAAGGTCCCACCAACAAAATCCCTCATCATGTGTCATGCAGTAAATCTGTTTATAATCTTTCCCAGACCAACCAAGACAGCTGACTGATGAAACTGAGTTACAGGTTGTAACCAGTGCATCCTCCTCATTCTCAATACTGATATCAAATACATTTACCAGGCCATCAGTTGAACCTGAGACCACCATGTTGGGATTGCTGGGATGGAAACGTATCTGAGTGATATCATCACTCTGTGTCTCCGAATAGGCACCAAGTGGGTCTTTGGCAGTAGACAGATCCTGAGAATTAATTCTTGCATCCCAAAAAACCAACAACGCGTCATCATCAACTTTTTCTGTACCAGCACAAATGACATGCTCATTACAGCTGATATCAAAACTAATAAAAATATTGGAAGGGTAACCCTTGAACAGCTGGATAGGTTTTTCACTGGCTAACCGAGCATCCCAACATTTTACAGTGCCATCAGTACATGCTGAATATACACTGTCACAGGAATTTGCAAATTTGACTCCATTGAGAAGTCCAGGATATCCACTAAATTCTCGCAGTACATTCAACCTTTCTTTATCGTATATTCTGATTGATCCATTAGAACATAAAACAGCAACCAAGCTTTCCTTTTCTGCTTGTACAGTCCTTGATGTGTCTATGCCAAGAAGATAAGTGGGCTCTGTAGTTCCTGAGCGTTTAACAATGTGCAGATTAGCAAACTGCTCCTCGATATTCTCCATATCTGCAGGAACATCCAAGGGCAGTAAAACCCTGTAATAAAAATTTTAGAATTAAAATTAAACCTGAAGCATCTCTACAATTTCAATTAAATCAAGAACTCTCCTCTGAGGGCTGGCACAAAACAACACAGATAAGTGAATTCTAATACTATAATCATTTCCTTACTATGATGCAACAAAAACTCAGTTGCCTTCTAACCCACTTTTTGAAAAAAATTTAACCCAACTCTGTCAACACCTTGACTTTTTTCACTTTAATACTGAATTTACTATATATACCTCATGCTAGTATGAGAATTAAAAACCATGTACATACACCACCTAGTATAGTAATTCCTTTGAGCTCAAGTCCAATTTATTGGTCCTACTCAAGTCCTCAGCATTGGTAAGGATGTTCAGTGGTTGGAATCATCTTCTTATAGACCCAGCTGCTACATACAACTTCAGAATAAACACAGATATGTAGGGGAAAAAAGTTCCCCAACGAGGTCCATGCCTTAATCCCTGGAATGTGTGAATATTTAGGCAGCATGGCAAAAGGAATCAAGGTTGCAGATGGAATTAAGGTTGCTAATCAGCCTAATTTAAGACTTACCTTAAAACAGGGAGATTATCCTAGATGATCTGTTATTACATTGGCTCAGCATAATAACAAGTGTCTTTAAGGTGGAAGAGGGAGGCAAAAGAAGAGAGCCAGAGGGAGATGTTACTATGGAAGACAGGCATAGAGAGATACAGTGCTGCTGCTTTTGAAAGGGTTGGGGGTGGGAGGTTATAGACCAAAGAATGAGGGTGGCCCCTAGAAATTGGAAAAAGTGAGGAGATATTCTCCTCTAGAGCCTCCATATGTAAACACAGCCCTGTTGAGACCTTAATTTTAGCCCAGTGACATCAATTTTGTACTTCTGACCTTCAAAACTATAGGATAATGAACTTATGTTATTTCAAGCTACCAAGTTTGTAACAATTTGTTAAAAACAGCCATAGGCAACTAATACAATAGAGGTTCCCAGTCTAGGATCCTGGTGAAGTGCTTCTAAGGCCCAAGCAGCTTGCAAATGGTAGAACTGGCGTCTCTGGATCTAAACCTAAGCATTCCGTCTTCAGGTTTCAGGGCCTGTGCTCCTAACCTCCACATTAGATTACCTCTCCACAGTAGGCTGAATGCAGAACAAGGTCTAGGCCAGAAAAATATGCATGCCTTGAGACACTATTACAAATTTTTCACTAAGTGTTCAGGTTTTAAAAAATCATCTTGCCGGGCTCGGTGGCTCAGCCTGTAATCCTAGCACTTTGGGAGGCCGAGGTGAGTGGATTGCCTGAGCCCGCGGGTTCGAGACCCGCCTGGGCAACTTGGCGAGACCTCATCTCTACAATAAATCAAAAATTAGCCAGGGGTGGTAGCGCATGACTGTAGTCCAGCTACTTGAAAGGCTGAGGTGGAAGGATTGCCGGAGCCTAGCAGGTCGAGGCTGCGGTGGCTGGGAGCAGCCACTGCACTCCAGTCTGGGTGACAGAGTGAGACTCCAACTCAAATAAATAAATAAATAAATAAATCATCTTAAGAATTTCAATGATTAACCATGAAATAAGTGTTCAGGTTTTATTACAAATTTTTCTATCATGCTTTTTCATCAATGAATATTCTAGCCTGCCTCACAAATTCACATTTTCATTCTTAAGATGAAATGTTTTTCTGTTGCTTTAGTGATATCTTTTTAAGCATCTGTCTTTTCATCTTTAAAAGGAAAAAATGAATGGTAACTCAAGAGCTGTTAGGGAGGATTAACCAAAATATTGCGTCATGTGTTCCACACAATGTCTAGCATATCACCGTACATATTCGTTATGTAAAAATGGCCAGCATCACCACTATCAATACCACCAGCACCACATGAGGGAGAATGTGATCTATCAGGGTGGATCCAAACAGCACAATTAAACCAATGGGCATAAAAATACTAAAAAGTTGGACCTGGGTTGAAAACAGAAATAGGCCGGGCTCAGTGACTCAGCCTGTAATCCCAGCACTTTGGGAGCCCGTGGGTTCGAGACCAGCCTGAGCAACTTGGCAAGATCTCATCTCTACAATAAATCAAAAAATTAGCTGGGCATGGTAGCACGCACCTATATTTCTGGCTACTTGGAAGGCTGAGGTGGAAGGATAGCCAGAGCCTAGCAGGTCGATGCTAGAGTGGCCATGAGTAAGCCACTGCACTCCAGCCTGGAGTAAGACTCCAACTCAAAAAAAAAAAAGGAAGACAGAAATAAGCACTCCCCCAAACCTTTCATTTTAAACATTTAAAAACATGCGAAAAAGATAAAATATTATAATGTACACTCACAGCCCCTCACCTTCTAGGTTTACCAGCTGTTATCTTTCTGCCACATTTAGCTTCTCTCCGTCTACATACACACACACACACAAAATGTTATTTCATTTCATTTTTTTTTAGATTAGAAAATATAGTAAGCAGGGCTCGGTGGCTCAGCCTGTAATCCTGCGCCTTTGGGAGGCTGAGGTGAGTGGATTGCCTGAGCCCACGGGTTCGAGACCCGCCTGGGCAGCGAGACCTCATCTCTACAATAAATCAAAAAATCAGCCGGGCGTGGTAGCGCAGGCCTGTAATTCCAGCTACTTGGAAGGCTGAGGCGGAAGGATCGCCGGAGCCCAGCAGGTCGAGGCTGCGGTGGCAGGGAGCGGCCACTGCACTCCAGTCTGGGTGACGGAGTGAGACTCCAACTCAAAAAAAAAAAAGAAAATATAGTTTATTTAGAAGGTAAATTAGAGAGAGAGAAAAAGAGGAGATTCACCTTCTCAAGGTAGGGGAGGGGGCCAAAGCCAAAAAACATGCTGTTGGTGCACAACGTTATTTTAAGAACCATTTGAAAAGTTAGCTGCAGACAAAACATCACTTCATTTCTAAATACTTCAGCATAAGACCATCTCCCCAGCCTGTTTTCCATGACATGGAATTAAAAAACCAAAAAATTCTAGGCCAGTTGTCTCATAGGACGTCCCACATTCTGGATTTGTTTGTTTCCCCATGATTGGATTCCAGTTTAACATTTTTGGCAGGGATACTACTGAGGTGATACTGAGCTACTCATTGCATCACAACAGGAAGGCACATAATTCCATGTTTGATCACTTACTAAAGGAGGTAACTACCAGATCTCTCCATCTTAAAGGTATATTCCTCTCTTTGTAGTTACTAAACAATCACAGTGATACTTTGAGACTATCTTATTCTCCAATGTGTCATCCAAATTTCAGCCTCCAGTGATTACCCTTGCTTAAATTAATGACTGTATGGATATTTGCATAACAGTCATTTTCTAATTCTATCATTCTATCTTATCTGGCATTCTTCTAGAAAGAACTTTTTCTTGGCTGTCCCTTTGTGTCACTAAAATATCATGACTCTTAAAAACTATGTCATAATCCATTGCTTTGTTGCTCTTTTTGATGCTCAAACTGTCCTGACTTGGCCACTGAGACCCTTCAAACCAGCTACCGTATCCTTTTAATATTATCATCAGTCTACTAAGCCCTATATGGAAAACTGTGGGAGACTTAGATGAGTCCAAAAATGGTGAGCTTCCTTCCACTTACGTATTCAGAGACTAAGCGACCATTTACATTATGCTGAGGTAACTACCACAGCATGGCTGTTGGTTTTCCAACCAGATAGGCTGCTTGAAGATAAAGAAAGTGGCCTTCTTTCCTTGAGCTTGCTCTTTGTTGGGAGCCAGCCTCGGAGGCCTGCCTGATTGACAAAGTCCAGGTGCGCTAAGGACCCCCGGCCGCAAAGCAAGTCTGGGCAGCTGAGGCCCTTCTGTCTTCCATCTTTGCTGTTGGTACGGCTGAAGAAATTCTGTGCAGTCGTGGAAGAAGAAAATGGCATGTTTATGCAAAGTACTCACAGCTAACCTGGAAATGTCATGGTTCATTTTTCCATTTTCCCACAATGCCGCTTGGCCTTTTCTAACATATGCAAGGGTTAAACTCTGAAGCATATCAAAAATGCTTTCTTTTACTTGGTTATACGTTACTAGATATTGCTTAAGTAATAAATGATATAAGTATATTCACTCCTTATTTGATTTAAAATTATATAGTTTAGTGTTTAGACATAAGGTTTTTTAGAAACACAAGTTTATAGTAAGTTCATTATGAATTCATTATAAGTTCTAACACTTATCTAGGAGTTATGTAGGTGATTTATAACACTGTTTTCACAGACTTAAGATAAAGATTAATCATTAAGTTTCTACTTAATTCTATAGTTAAGATTTTAAGTAAATGTTTATAGAGTGGGTTTTCACTGAATTCATAATATATTAATTAGATACTTTTATGATAAATTAAATAAATACAGAAAGCAACCTTGGGGGCCTGGAAAACATCACTAAAAACTTCTTTTGAGTTTTCTTTAGAAATAAACACTGCAGGATAAGAAAAAAGTAAGGCAGGGGCTGAACCCCCACAGCTTTTGTCTCTGGTGAATGAAGCAATAGCTGCTTCTCTGCCTGGACTATTCTTTCCCTTCATTTTTGCATGAGTGACTCCTTTCTGTTATTCAGGTCTCAGAATGTCACCTTCTCAGAGTCCCTACCCATCAACCAACCTAAAGTAGCTCGTCATTCCCTATCACATTGCCTGTTCTATTAATATAAAAATGTTTAATTATAAAATACTTTGGTTTTTTTAGTCAGGGTCTTGCTCTGTCACTCAAGCTGGAGCGCAGTGGCATGATCACGGCTCACTGCAGCCTTGAACTACTGGGTTCAAGCATCCTTCTGCCTCAATCTTCCAAGTAGCTGGAACTACAGGCACATGCCACCATGCCTGGCAAATTTTTCCAATTTTGCACAGATGAGGTCTCACTATGTTGCCCATGCTGGTCTTGAACACCAGGGTTCAAGCAATTCTCCCACCTCAGCCTTCCAAAGTGCTGGGATTACAGGCATGAGCTACTATGCCTGGCTAACTATGAAACATTACAAATGTACAAAAAGGTAAAGAAA